CGAGGCGCCTGGAAAAACAAAGGTCTCGGAGAGTAGATTATGAAGGACCGGTCATGTGAGTTTACTGACTCAGAGCCTCCGAAGGGTCATGTGAGCAACTGAGCCTCCGAAGAGAGATTCAAGAACAAGAGCAGCCATGGCGGGGCTGGGCGTCGTAAAAGCATGCTCTCGCACCTTGGGCCTGGTGCTGGTGAGCTTGCTGCTATGATTGGCTGTGGCGATGGCGGCGGCGCTGCCAGTGTTGACGGTGTTAGCAGCAGTATTGACGGCGCTGCCAGTGTTGGCGGTGTTGGCAGCAGTATTGACGGTGCCGCCAGTGTTGGCGGTGTTGCCGCCAGTGTTGATGCCGGCAACGGTGGAGCGGGAACTGGGTACCAGGCGTACCGCTTGTGAACCTGCGCACGCACGATCGTCAACCGTCAGAAACGAGTACTACCGAAGAGTTTGACGAGGCAACCGAGTCTGAAAGTTAACCTCTATCGTCCAGAGGCGGACTTACAGCATACGAGGACGAGAATCACGGAAGCCGCCAAGACGAGAGCAGGAAGCCGCGCCATCGTGTGTTCAGGGTCTAGCCTAGTGACTACGAGAATAGAAAATTGCCTACCCGAGCTGCTCCGATTGCGTTCCTAAACGGACAGCGTCGATTGACGGCATGGTAATAGCCCCTCCCTTTTATCCCGTTTCACTTGTGACAGCTGCACCTTCCGCCATCAAGGGGCCATGGGCGGCGGAATCACATGATCGCGGTGTGGTGGTTTCCGCTTTGTGCCTCTTCCTCCTCCCCGCCGCCCTTGGCTCGTCATGCTGGCGGCGCGGCGGTGGTGGCGTTGACGTTTGACGAAACATGGTTCGGACGATGTCGGATGCAGATGCGAATGGTGGATCATCTGAATGCAGTATTGTCAACCATAGTGTACTAGGGGATTCGCCTTCCCGAAAGTACGGACATCTAGAGATCGTGTCAAAACCAATGGGCCAAAAATGTTACCCACACCTAAACCTAAACTTGACGCGAGGTGACACACCACTAGGAACATTACCGAGCATACCTCGAGGGGAACTTTTGTGTGTAACCCCTCCCGATTTTTGAAACGATTGTTCGGTCGTCAACCCCCTCCCATTCCCTTTCCCTCAACCACCCACCCCTCCCCTGCCGCCGCCCTCCCACCCGCCCTCCCATACTCACACTGCTTCGTGCCAAGCCTTCGTAGGTTCGGGAGGGAAGTTTGCGAACTGCCGCTGATCGTCAACGCGGCTGTGAAATCTACAGCATCAACTACTGTAAACAGGGAACTCGGGTTCAGCGGTCGGACTGACGGGTGAATGACCCCGAAATAGATGTGGATGGCCACGGGGAAGGGCGCGGCTCGGGCGCTCGACCAACCTGGACCCACCCCCCCAAAATGCCCGAGGCGAAATGAAAAACTACGACCCAGCTGGACCTGGTGCTTGGCCGTTTTACCTATTTCCATATCGATAATTGGCGAAGGGTAAATAGGTAATTTCGCCAGCCTTTTCCACAGCGTGAACAGTTGACGGCGACGACGGTTACCGCATCGCCGGACGTTAAAAAAAACGACCATGCGTTGGTTCGCGTGCGGCTGACGACAGGGACGCGTTACAGTGTAGTGTAGTTGATTGTTGAAATTCAGTCAGTCTGTATAATTGTTTCAATGGTTTACTTCTCAATGCAATGTTGTCTTAGTGAATTGTGTGAATGATGGGGTGGTTTTAAGGGGGGTTTTTTATGATTGAAATTGATAAAGAATGTCTTAATTTATCTATTCTATGCAGTCTCAGGGTTTTTTTTGCAGAGATGGCCATACAAATGGGTGAATTGTGGAGCTCAAAATGTGCATTTATAAGAGGTTGTAAGCTTGTATGTTTGGTTTTTCTACGTGATTTTTGTATGTTCTGTCTGCCCTAGCACCCCTCTACTAGATTCAATCATATTTGATAGTATGCCAACGTTTGCACTTTTTGGTTCATGTTAGCTCTGTCAACAATGTCTATAGTGCATGTAATGTCATTCTACGGCAAACATCAATACAAAGTTGTCATTTCTACCATGTTTTTCGTTATGTATAACAGGTTTGTAAGGCTTAGAATGACTTATATTCCACCCTTGTCATGTCAAACCAGTGGTTGAATTTACAAAAAGGTGGAAACGAGTGCTTGCTTGCTTGGGAGTTTTTGGCACATGTTAGCTGGGTTTTTCTGAGATGGCTTTGCATTATGCCTCCCTCAGCACTCTTCACAATATTGTCAACACCCATGAATGGGATGATCTAGTCATATCGCAAGAAGACTTGTTTTGCGAACTGACTGTACGGTTCATATAACTAGTTATATTTGGCTGTAATATTACAGTTTGACAGTACCTTTTTACATGTTTTGAAGACTATGGGCCCCCCCTTTCATTGACTCCCCACACAGCCTTTATATAGGGTTGGTTTTCACCACATTTCTATGAGAATGAATAAATTATGTGATGGCATTTGTAGTCAATTCAACAATTCAGTGGCGGGGTGTACCGTTTTATGCTCATATACCTTGTGGGGTGCTGAGTTTCGAGTGTTTCTTCTGACACATCGGGCGGGAATTTTCGACCACCACGTGCCACATTCGAGTCGTACAAGGTGGAGTCATGCAAAGAACGCTTATACATTGGATCGCGAGCTGCATGGCGTCCAATGAAGAAATGCATGCGGCCATTCAGAGATACATGCGTGCGAAAATTGGCACGCCCGGTGGTGACTTGGAGAAAATGCGCCTCGTCCAGATTGCACCGTATTGCACAAACATTCACTTAAAAAGGTGTACCGACTGACCGAGTACGACCTCCAGGTAGGTGCGCCCTCATGAAGGATGGATTAGATTTCGTAATGACCCCGCAACCATGGCGACACATTCTTTAAGTTATTTCGGGGGAAATACGCCCTTCGAATTAGGGCGTTAGGCTCAAACTCAGAGGTATAAAAGTCAGAGAGTGGTACGTTTTTCATTTTGCAGATTCTCCTTCTCTTTTGTTCATTTTCTTCCCACTCCAACTACTCTGCACCCCATTTTCCTTAGTCGATGGAGCCCTCTATTGAACTCGAGGGGGCTGGTCTGCGTGTGCGGTTGTCGCGTTTAGAGTTCGAAAACTTGCGGGGCCAGGAAGCGGAATGGTCCGAGAACATTCTCAACTTTGTGCTGCTGTAAGTCGCACTCGAATTGAGTGGTACTTTTTCGAGTTTACCTACCATCTAAACGACGTCCCCCATTTAGCTGTAAAATTTGTGAGCTTGTTTGGTACTCCGAGCTGTGACGTGTTTCGTAAACATCCACTGTCGTCCACCACCGATTGCTTCTAGCGGTAGGCTGTTCGAGGATTAGTTCAGCTCTACGTCACTCATAAACTTTCGAGATTTTGGTATGCTACCTGGAATGTGAGCTGTAGCGATCGCCTCTTGAAACCATTTTTCGAGCGTGTTGTCTCGTAATCTTTCGCAGGATGCTTGCCAAAAATAGGCTGACCGCGGAGCAGCTTTCGAAGGTCGAAATCGTCCCCATGAGTCGGGTCAACGTCGCCAAGGCGAAAGTCCCACTCGAACCTATGGGTCCAGGCAGACTCACAGGTCTCCTTGGCAAGAAACTATGCATCTTCCCGTTATGGTCCAGGTAGGCTCGAATATACGAAGTTGATTTCGAAATTATTTTTACGGCTTTGTTTCTTCCCTTGAGATTTTTCTAAAGGTGTCTATTATTTCGCCACACCACCCCTTGCAGTATCACTGCGGAACCGAAGGCGCGTTGTAGCCTCTTTGTTCTCGTACGCCCCGATAGTCTGGCGGCCCACCCGAAGTTACCGGTTTAGACGCGTCTTTTGCATTTCGACCCGAAAGCCACTTCTCCGACTCATAAGCACGTCGATCTCGCCCAAAATATTGTGCGGTGAGTATCCGCCGTTTAAGCAGCATCCGTGCGTGTTGCAATGTGAACGACGCTCAGTGAAGTCGGACCTCTTATGTTGAGCAGGTGGCTTGAGCAACAGCTCTTGATGGAATATTCAAGAGGGGAAGCGAACTTGGGGGAAGCGACCTTGGTCGGAGAGACCCAGGAAGTATTTCGCGACATTCGTAAGCGCATCACAGGCGGCTGGAAGCTCGACAAAACTGGGGTTAGTTATCGAATACAGTGCTACGTGCTACATTATTATAGAAAACATGGCCGTGCTGACGCTTTTCCGCATCCGTGTTGTTGCAGAAGGGAGGTTGGTAACTCAGTCACTCGGCCAAAGGGAGGTTGGTTCGGGACTTCACGTGGCCGACCAGTGGTGCAAGATGCTCTATCATTTCGACGCCATTCTGCAGCAACAGACGAGGGACAAAAAATTCCTCTCTTTGGGTACCCTACAATACCGTCGAGAGAATATTCTGGATGACATACTCACCGACTGTGGGAAGTATTTCGACAAGGTTGCGCGTGGTGAAACTACGGGTGAGGGGGAAGAGGAGGATAACTTGGTCCATCATGGGCCTGTCGCAGAGGACACAGGGCCCCCACCAGAAATTGATGAGAAAATAGTCGCTGTAGGGGCGCTGGTTTCTGACAGCGTTCGAATGGGTCTGGCCAACGAGCGTCAAAGCGTGACGGAGGGGGAGCGTCGGCTGATGCACACAAACGACGCACACGGTCGGAGGGAGAGTGCGCGCGAGGTATTGCGTGGAATGAGGGAGACGCAGCAGAGGGCAGCAGTCGCCAAAATTCAGCGTTGCGGATTGGAGGCCGTACAGCAGAAGGGGGAGGGGGAGAGCATGGAGGAGCTACCAATGGCTTTACAGGCAGTGCATCTCCCCGTCGAGAATGATGAACAGGATCAGGGGCAGAGGATGGAACGCGAAACCAGGATGGTGTATCAGAGGCGTGAGGCACGAACAAAGAAGAGGTATGATGAGGGTTGGGAAGAACGCGATGCGGTGGACGCGAATGAGAGGGTGTAACAGGAGCGTATCATGTTCGATAACGAGGGTCGAGAGTTTCGCGCGACGGAGGGGGATAGGGAGGGAGATGAACGGGAGCAGGAGAGGGTCGAGGACGAGAGGCGTCTTGAGCGCGAAAATGAGGATGCGTTGCAGAGAGAGGTAGGGAGTGAAGGAATCAAGGAGCGAAGGTCGTTGGAGCTCGAAAATAAGGAGGCACGACAGAGGTTGGAAAAGGAGGGGCTCGAGGAAGAGCGGAAGAGGGAGGAGGCGAGGACGGTGGAACGCGAAAAAAAGGAGGAACGGCAGAGGGAGGAGGAAGAGCGGAAGAGGGAGGAGGCGAGGAAGGTGGAGCGCGAAAAACAGGAGGCGCGGCAGCGGGAGGAGGAAGAACGGAAGAGGGAGGAGACGCGAAAGATGGAGCGCGAAAAGGAGGATACTAGGCAGAGGGAGGAGGTAGAGCGGAAGAGGGAGGAGGCTAGGAAGGTGGAGCGCGAAAAACAGGAGGCGCGGCATCGGGAGGAGGGAGAGCGGAAGAGAGAGGACAAGAGGAAGGTTGGGCACGAAAAAGAAGAGCGACAGAGGGAGGAGGAAGAGCGGAACAGGGAGGAGGCGAGGAAGGTGGAGCGCGAACAAGAGGAGAGGCAGAGGGAGGAGGAAGAGCAGGAGAGGGAGGAGGCGAGGAAGGTGGAGCGCGAAAAAGAGGAGAGGCAGAGGGAGGAGGAAGAGCGGAAGAGGGAGGAGGCGAGGAAGGTGGAGCGCGAAATGGAGAAGCGGCAGCAGGAGCTGGAAGAGCGGAAGAGGGAGGAGGCGAGGAAGGTGGAGCGCGAAAAGGAGGAGAAGCGGCAGGAGCTGGAAGAGCGGAAGAGGGAGGAGGCGAGGAAGGTGGAGCGCGAACAAGAGGAGAGGCAGAGGGAGGAGGAAGAGCGGAAGAGGGAGGAGGCGAGGAAGGTGGAGCGCGAAAAGGAGGAGAAGCGGCAGAAGGAGCTGGAAGAGCGGAAGAGGGAGGAGGCGAGGAAGGTGGAGCGCGAAAAGGAGGAGAAGCGGCAGCAAGAGCTGGAAGAGCGGAAGAGGGAGGAGGCGAGGAAGGTGGAGCGCGAAAAGGAGGAGAAGCGACAGAAGGAGCTGGAAGAGCGGAAGAGGGAGGAGGCGAGGAAGGTGGAGCGCGAAAAGGAGGAGAAGCGGCAGAAGGAGCTGGAAGAGCGGAAGAGGGAGGAGGCGAGGAAGGTGGAGCGCGAAAAGGAGGAGAAGCGGCAGAAGGAGCTGGAAGAGCGGAAGAGGGAGGAGGCGAGGAAGGTGGAGCGCGAAAAGGAGGAGAAGCGGCAGCAAGAGCTGGAAGAGCGGAAGATGGAGGAGGCGAGGAAGGTGGAGCGCGAAAAGGAGAAGAAGCGGCAGCAAGAGCTGGAAGAGCGGAAGAGGGAGGAGGCGAGGAAGGTGGAGCGCAAAAAGGAGGAGAAGCGACTGAAGGAGCTGGAAGAGCGGAAGAGGGAGGAGGCGAGGAAGGTGGAGCGCGAAAAGGAGGAGGAGCGGCAGAAGGAGCTGGAAGAGCGGAAGAGGGAGGAGGCGAGGAAGGTGGAGCGCGAAAAGGAGGAGGAGCGGCAGAAGGAGCTGGAAGAGCGGAAGAGGGAGGAGGCGAGGAAGGTGGAGCGCGAAAAGGAGGAGGAGCAGCAGAAGGAGCTGGAAGAGCGGAAGAGGGAGGAGGCGAGGAAGGTGGAGCGCGAAAAGGAGGAGAAGCGGCAGAGGGAGCTGGAAGAGCGGAGTAGAGAGGAGGTGAGGAAGGTGGAGCGCGAAATGGAGGAACGGGAACGGAACAGGGTGGAGGCCAATGAGCGCGAAACGGGGAACGGGAACGGAACGAGGGTGGAGGCGAATAGCGAGGCACCACGCGGAAAGGAGGCGAGGGAGAGGGACGAGCGAGATCGAAATAGGCTGGAGGCAGGGCCACGAGACGCGCGCGAAAGGGAAGAGGCGTGGCAGAGGCAAGAACGGGAGCGTAAGTGAGCCGAAAGCGAACGTCGAAGGCATGAGATGAGAAGACTGGAGCGCGAAAGGCAGGTGGCTGAACATGGTGCGATGGAACCCGTCACACAAACGAGGGCCAGAGGGGCGAGAGGGTCCCACCCCTCGCGGGGCGGGGTGCAGGGGAAGGAGCACGACAAGTGGTGGTTGGCGACCAGCAAACCGTGGGGCAGCAGGGGACGACGGTTCGTCGGGCAGCGGAGGCGGGTTTAGCGGGATTGGGGACTGGCGGTCCGAGACAGGTTATTCAGCGGGATGGTGGCCGGCGTGATGTACAAACAGCTCAGAACAGGGTTGCCGAGGGAGACCGTAGGAGGCTCGAGCAGTCAAGGCCAGCCGGTCGGCGAGAGGGTGAAGCGCGGCGAACTTTACTGGGTGAGCGAGAAACGGAGGAGCGTGTCTGGCGTGGGGTGGGATGCGCAGTGGAGGGAGGACGAGTGGAAGAGGAGCTGGAGAGTGCGGCGAGTGCGCTCCCTATTCAGAGGCGCCGTGCGCGTGAGGCAGAGGATCCTGCTGCGGTGCAGGCGGAGGGACTAGAGGAGGGTGAATGGGTGGCTGTGGAGAGGGTACTGGAGGAACAGGAGAATGCCGGCCCCCAGGTTTTCAAGGAGACGGCGGGTGGATTTGAGGAGGCTGGCGACCGCATCGCAGCTGGCGGCAGGGTGCAAACCTCGTCAGAGTTAATGCGGCGTCTGACGTTGGTGGCGAGGTCCGTGGCCAGGATTTCGTCAGAGCATGGTGTCCGCATCAGCGAATGCATGGCCGAGATCCGCCAGTTTGGTTCGCAGATGCAGGGATGGGACATGCGCTACTTGCAGGACTACGACGATCTCACAAACGAGTACCACGAGCTCAAAGATTCAGTGGTCTGGGAGCGCGCGGAGCTCGTCCAATTGCGTACTGCTCTGGCGACGGCTGCCGCCGAGGCACGAGCGGCAGCAGCTGATGCTGGTCGAGCAGCTGCAGCAGCGGCTATTGGAGCATTGCAGGAAAAGTTAGCTGGGTTTTTCGAAATGTATGAGGAGAAGCTGAAGGGTGTGGTGGAGCAGGCAATAGAACGTGCGTCAAAAGGGGGGAAGCTGGAGGCCACGATCGCTCCCATCTCCATGGAACACGTGCAAAAAGCTATTGACAAAAGCGTCTTCGATGCGTGGGAGGATCTCAGAACGGCAGACGACCAAAACCAGCTGACTTTCAAAGCGATTCAGAAGGCTCTGGCAGAATTGGGAGCAAAGCTCAAAGGGCCGACTGGACCCATCAGGGCTGAAAATCCCGCAGCTGTCAGAGTCGATGCCACTCCAACCCCTGCGCGAACGCACACCGAATCAGAGTCTCCGGACATCCCTATTTCCGCGGCTCAAAAAGTCATGGAAAGATTTGCCGCGACATCGGAGGACGCGGCGGGTGACGTGGGTGGGGCGGGTGGGGCAGGCGCCGGTGTGGCAGATGTGTACTTGTCTGAGCCGGTGAGCAGAAACTGGAGAGAGTCTTTTCGGGCGAAAGAGTTGCAGAAAGAGAAGGACAAGGAAAGCGACGAGAGGAGGGCGACCGATGCTCGGAAGCGGTCTGCTATTCAAACGGCGCAAACGACCGCAGCTCAGAAGAGACGGGCTGTGGTGGGGGTGGGGAATCCCAGAGGCGATGATGGGACTGGGACTGTTGTTAGCAGCGGTAGAGCGGCGGAAAACCGTGCGACAACAATAACAGCAGAACCAGGAACCTTGCGTGCAACCATGGCCGAGAGGAGGAAAGCGGAACAACGGAAGAAGGGCGAGGAGGACCGCATGCGTGCACAGGAGGAGGAAAGGGCGCGGCAGGATAAGGTGGTGGCAGAGCGGGCCGCCCGAGCGGCAGAGGAAAAACGCAAGGCGGATGAAGCGAAGAGGGTGTGGGAGGAGCAGGCGAAGGAGGCAGCTCGGGTGGAGAGAGAGGCGGAGGAAAAACGCAAGGCGGATGACGCGAAGAGGGTGCGGGAGGAGCAGGCGAAGGAGGCAGCTCGGGTAGAGAGAGAGGCTGAGGAAAAACGAAAAGGCGGATGAAGAGAAGAGGGTGCGGGAGGAGCAGGCGAAGGAGGCAGCTCGGATAGTGAGAGAGGCTGAGGAAAAACGCAAGGCGGATGAAGAGAAGAGGGTGCGGGAGGAGCAGGCGAAGGAGGCAGCTCGGATAGTGAGAGAGGCGGAGGAAAAACGCAAGGCGGATGGGGAGAAAAGGGTGCGGGAGGAGCAGGCGAAGGCGTTGAAGGTGGCTGAAGAGAAGCGGGCGGAGGCATTGAAGAAGAAAAAGGAGCTCCAGGCAAAGCGCGAGAGGATGCAGGCACAACTGGACGAACTGGCAAAGTTGGAGAAGGATGCAAAGGAGGAAGAGGAGAGGCAACAGAAAAGGTTGGAGGTGCAAAAGTATATGATGGAAACAGAGAGGCAACAGAATGCGGCGAAGGATCCGGAGGGGGCAGCAGGGCAAGGGCAGGGAGAATACGCGATTCTTAGCGTCGAGCCGACGGCCGGAATTCTTCGGGTGGTTCCAGCAGACCCTGGACAGCCAGTTGAATTTGTGGGTCTGGCAGAGGATGTTGAGTCAATGGATCGGACAGGCCACACAGATTCAGAGTCCCAAACGGGTTCGAAAAAACCCCGCACCGATCAAACATCCCCCAACTTCAATGCCGAAGCGGAGTCAGAGAATGCGGCAGCGTCGGAAAACGAAGTTGAGGCAGGGCATGAGAATCTGGAGGCGGTGTTGGGAGAAGCGGTCGAAAATGTGGCAGAAAAGGATAGGATACCCGACGCACTGGGCAAAACGTGGGGTGTTTCCAAGCACTTAAAAAAAGCGGGGCTTTTTGAACACGAATATCAACGGAAGGATGGGACGAAGGAGGTGAGATTCTCTTCGGAGCAAACAGTTGGAGGGAAGAAGAGAAACATGGGGAGTTTCAAGGAGAAATGGCGCCGTGACTTTACCGTTGCCATCTGCTGGATGGTGTACTATCCAGAGACCGACATGCTTCATTACGGGATGGATCCCGTCGAAGTTGGGACATGGGATCCCTACCTCGAACTCGCACGCGAATTGCCGACAGGAGTGTGGAGCGTACTCAACAAAATGGACATGGACAAGTACGAAGAGTGAGTATCCACGATTTACGAGTCCATCTTTCGACTTGTTTATGCCACTAATGTTCCAACTATCCCACTCCTGGCAGCTTCAAGAATGTCTTCGAGAAGATTCAGGCATGTGTGAAACGCGGCGAGCACTGGGAGATCGCGGTTTGCGTGGGGATAGGACATGCCGTCGTCCTTGGTAGCACTGATGCGGAGTCTCCGCCCAGTGGTGTCAAGTCCGCAGTATATGCAGCAGGGGTGGCCGCATGCCTGTACACCTTGTGGGCTGCTTCGACAGGTATTCCGAGTTCTGACTGGGAAGACGGTGCCGTTGCGGCAGCCCGTGGGACACTCGCAGATCAAAGCCTTGCCAGTCGAGCAGCCTCAGTTTCTCGCTTCGGAATAGCGGCTCTGCGTCGAGTTAGCAACAGCGTGCATGCTCGAGGCGACTGGGAGTCGGTTCTTAGCGGAGTGATAGGAGGCATCATAGATCCCGAACCCAAGGACGAGCTGGAGGTTGGTAGCTTGGCGAAAGTGGTGCGAGTGCAACCTGGCTGCCGCGGGAATCTACGCGTACCAAGGGGGTTTGCTCAACTTTGCCCAGGGGACGCGAGGGCAGAAGCGGAAGGCGACTGCTGGTGGCAAAGCGTGAGGCGAGTGCTCTTTGGGATGTCAGAAGCTTTGTAGTACGTGGCATGTAATGCTTTTTGAAACACCTCCGAGATTCTTTAGTTGGTTGCAGTAGCGTGGTTCACCTTGCTTGTTTTTCGAGAGATTTTGTAATTCTAAAACTAGCATACTCTGGATTTCGAATTCCCCTCTCAAGAATGAAGGGCTTGCTTGGTTCGAATTGGGCGAGGAAAAGCTAAACTCCACATAGGCAGCGCAACTCTTGCTTTGTAGTCCGTTGCGTACTTTGTATTTCAAGACATTCGCTACCCGCCCAAATCCCTACCCACTCGCAGAAGGTACGGCCCCATAATCCCTTGGGGTTTCCAACCCACCCGCGAGAAGTCCAGGAAAACAACCCGCGGGATTTCCCTCCCACCCGAACGAAGTCGTGGTAACCTACCTCTGGAGGAAATCCCGACCATCAGCGAGACGCATAGGAAACCAACCCCCTGGAATTCCCACCCACCCGCGGGAAGTCGAGGGAAACAACCCGCGTGCATTCTGATGAACGTCGGCCAGAGAATTCGTGTTCCAACCCGCGAGAATGTAGAGCCTCCCACCCGCGGGTGAACTGTGGAACCCACCCAATGTCCTTCCTCGGAACCCACTCGCGTGTGTTCCTTCCTCCCGTATATATTCGATGAATCCCGCCCGCGGACAGTTTTTGACACCCACCAGCCCTGCTTCCAGAACACCATCCCGCGCTTGTTACAATGCAATAGTTCTTGATAACCGTGAATAGCTCGACTATGAATGAGGCTGTTGGGATATTTGGACGCGCGTTCCAAGAACGTGTTTGTGCAAACCCATATCATCAAGTTGTACAACTATTAACTACCAGTGCTGCCACAGAAACCCTACACACGCGGAAACCCAATCCACAAATCCATCCGAACGACAAACATACACAAGCATAAGCAGCAAAAACCAACCAGGAAAAAAAAAGGTTGCAGCACACAACCCTACAACCCATGCCAGATCCACGGAACTCTCAGGCCAACTCCTCGTTGCTCTCGGATCCGCCCAACATAATCGGCTCGTTTTCGTCGTCGTCCTCGTCATCGTGCTCGCGCTCCTCGCCCTTCCTCCCAACCTCCCCCGCGTCGCCTTTCTTGCCTTTCCCACGCGTCCCCCTCTTCTTGGCGGCCTGACGGGCTTTCTCGCAGTCCAGGTAAAGGCCCACGCCTTTTGAGGACGGACACGCAGATCCATCGTAGTTCCAATTGGCCACTACTTCGACCAGCAGGGGCACGCAAACGTGGACTGTCTTGTCCGTAGCCGCGTATCCACTCAGCACACTCTTCTCAACGGTAGCCGCGGAAAGCATCGGATTAGCAGGGCGTTTCCGGATTGTCGCGTACACGTCTGCCCAGCAAGCTTTCAAACAAAACAAATCATCCGCGCTCGCGCCACACAGCGTTGCAGCGGCCGAGGCACTCTGGAGCGCAGCGGATCGATGCTCCGCGGTAACCCCCTCAAAGGCCGTTTGCGCACCACCCGTCGTGTTCCAGCGAGTGTATGCCGAGGTGAAGCTCCACATGGCAGCACAACCGAACGCCAACGCGGCCGCGTAAAGCGACTTCTGATCTTTCCCTTTCACCGCTGTTTCGTCATCCGCGGCTTCGAGGCCAATAGCAGCACAAATCGCGGACTCGACCGTAGGCTTCCCGTTCGAGTCCAAGAATCCGCGAGTTCTCTTGAAAATGTTCAACATCCTGCACGAAATGGTTCACAGACGTGTTACGTCCCGCGGTTGAACAGAAGTACGAATACAGCCGCGGGACGGTTGCGTACCTCTTGTGATTCGCGGCCAGTTTGCGGATAAAAATCACCGCGTAAAGCCCCGCGGTCATCTTTCGGGCGAGATCGAGATCGAGGCTCCATTCCACCTCCTCCGGTTCCGTGAGCACCAACTCAGACCTCTGCACGCGGTCGTGCCACACGGTCTGAGCCACCGCGGACAGATAGCGCGCAGGCCCAGCACGCGAAAACGTGCCGAGATAGAAGCGCTCGCCACCATGATGAAGCTCCACCGCGAAGGGGTTTTTTTGGCCTGGAAAAAAACGGACACCGACCATCGGCGTCTGCTTGATCTCGGCACTCTTAGAGTCCCCACCCTCATCCCCACGACCAGCACCTTTCGCCGCTGCCCACGCCGCATGATATTTCCTCCGCGCCTCCCTCGCCTCCGCGTCCTCATCGCCAACAGATTCTTCCACGCCCTCAGTCGTGCCTTCCGCTGCGATTCCCGGCCTGCCAGAAACAACAGCAACCACTGCAGGCGCGGCATCTTTCGGGCCAGCAGGAGATAAACCAGCAGCACTCTTCGCTTTCTTCGCGCGGTTGGAAGCCTCGCCTTCAGCAACAGGCGGAACCGAGCGCTTGTCATGACGCACTGGCTCAACACCACCCACAAGCGTCAGCGGCAGGCTCGCGTCACCCGCTGCACCAGCTCCGAGTTTGGGATCTCGATCCGCGGAATGCATGGGGTCGCCCCACGATCCAGCGTTACCCCCGATGTTCGCCATCACTGCTCTCAGGATCATAGCCCCCGCGCCCGCACCACGCTCCGCCGCTCGCGCCACCGAGTCTTCAAGGCCGACAAGCTTGCGCCAAACCTCCGTGCGCGTCCGCTCAGCGATATCGTTGATCGCGGAAGTGACAAGGGTTTTCGGATCTACCACAGTCCCCTCAACACGTGCAAGTGTGCGCTCGGCCGTCTCCCTTTGCGACGTGGCATTCGCCCTCTCCACACGAATCTCCTGGACCGCGTCAGCAACATCCGCGCGGCCGCGCTTATCAGATTCCTCGAGGCGGGCCTCGATGCGGCTCATGGTTACCATCCCGCGCTCAAACGCCTCTTGGTTCTCCGACACCCAACCCATCAACTCCGACAACTTCTCCCGCTGCTGTGCCAACAGCCTTACCTGCGTCTTGGCCATCTCCTTCCCACGACGGACGGCGGCCTCGAGACGCATTACCTCGTGCACAAGCGTGAGGTGAGGCAATGCAGACAGCTCCTCGAATGATCGGTTGCCGCTCTTGCGCGGCCCCTTTCCGACATCATCACTGCCAGAAGGTCGCCCGGCCGCCTCCGTTCTCAATTCCTGTACGCGGGGTGCACTGGCCTTTTCCGCGAAGTCTGCAGCGAGGGCCTTCCCCACTGTTCCCTCGGAAAGTTCTTTGCCTTTGTCTGCGGCACCGACCTCAATGTTTGCTCCCGCGGAAGAATCTCCCGCAACCTCGGTATCAACAGCCGCGGTATCGGCAGCAGGTGTCGTACTCGCGGGTGGGGGTTCCGTTGGGCCCGCACCGGTATCGGCAGCGCTGTCCGCATGGTGTCCCGCGTGGGCCGCCGTTGCTTGTTCGCGAACCATTCTGCACGCACAAAACATGCTATGTACTCATTAAAGCGCCCATGTTACAATATAACACAGCGGCATCGCATCACCGACCCCGCGGATACGAGACGGGAATGACCCGAAGGCGCGAAAGAAACCAGTAAGAATCAAGCACGCCGAAAGATTCAGGACCAAAATTACATGGAAAAGCAGAGAGACTCGAAGGCGCGAAAGAAACCGTGAGGAACGAGTACTCATACCTGCGATAATAAGCTCAGGCATGCGCCTTCGCGGGAGACTTCCCGCGCCTAGAAAACTCAGCGAGCATGCATACCTTCAAAGACGTTGAGGCAGTGGCGTGGATGAGGCTTTGCGCAGGGTTGGCGGGGTGAAGAAACGCAATGAAAACGGAAAACAAAACACCACAATGAGAAATGCTGGCCTTTTATACCCTCCTTGGGTCTTCGTTCCCTCTGCCTCGTGTAGTGCACCTGGGTTTCCCGTCTGCTGTCATGCACACTCTGGTGCGTCAGATGGGTGCCACGTGGTCACCCGCAGTGTAATATCGCGCATAAGCTTCGTGAGTTTCGAGCATTGTACTGAAATTACGACTACAAGTGGGGTACACCATCAGTCACGCGGAAAAACAAACAGGGAAACCAATGGCGGGGGTGGAGAAAAAGAAACCAAATAGGGGAGAGAGCAAGAGCGATCCCAGCAAGGGCTGTGGCTCGCGGGGTGCCTTTTATAGTTCACCCTCTTTTACGGGTTATTGGTGCGTGTTTTCCACACGGTGAGTCTGGCCAGGCCCCTGCTAAACCCTCCCGGGCCTCGGAGGCTCGCGAGACCGTTGATCCTCCTCCCCTAACCTACACGAAAGGGGATTGTGCGGCTTCAGGCGGTCACCGAGCCTACTCGGTGGCCGGGAGCTGCGCCAGCCTGCTTTCCGATCACTGGTTTTATAGTACTTGAGCATCACAAGAACTAGCTTAGTGTTCCCAATCACAGACGTGCCTCTATGGGGAGTAGTTTGATGATTGAAGACTATTTCAACGTTGGACCTTTCGACAACTAATCATATTTTAATATTCTAATGGAACTACAGATGTTCATACTACAGTTCTTATATCGTGGTCAAGGACGGTCCAATACGGTGAGAAGCGGTTCTTGACGTTAACCGCGTACAATTAGTTGTACAACCTGACTCCGCCCTTAGAAGAAGTAAAAAAAGGGATCAATGTCAAGAGCACAGTAGAAATGAGGTCCAGTAGAAATGAGCACAGAAAAAACTGAGATCAACGTCAGATCAACGCGTATTTTTTCTACACCGTCGCAGCACTGTTAACGACAACCTGGTTTTGAACACAATCCTCTTGGTACGATATGCGAAGGTTACGATGTACGGTAGGTGTAAATTTTGTAATGGAACTACAGACTATCCGACATTGACGTAGCTCTAAAAGAGGATTTAGACCAGACTAAATTAGAAAGAAGAAAAACAGGGATCAAAGTCAAGAGCAGAGTAAAAATGAGGTCCAGGAACGGATGCTGGCAATCATAGATACGTAGAGTCCTAAGAAAACAAAGCGGAACCGATCACGGAAGGAAGTCTCAGTAGCGTGAACTACTTCTTCAGTTTCGCCAGCTTCTTTGGCTCCTCGATCTTGATCTCCTTCCAAACATCTTCCCCAAACATCTTCTCTCCCCACCCGTCACCCACCAACTGGGCGGCGAAGAGGAGGTACCCGACCTTGCGGCGCTTGTTCTCCGTCGTCTTATCCTTGCCGGGATTATCCCTCTTCGGAGGTGGCTCGTTTCCGAGAATCAGCCCATCCGCCAGTGCGCTGATCGAACTCCGACCCACCACGTCCTTCTCGATCTTCGCAATGGCATCTCGGGTGGCCTCCTCCGTTTTGTTAGCCCTGTATTTCTCGACCGCGAGCATCACGTTCCTCATCCGCTTCATTTTTTTGTCGCCAGTATCGTCCTTCACACCCTTCTCAATGTACGAGAAAGTGGGGTAGAAACTTTTTTCGGACGACAGCTGGCGGAGAGTCTTCCCTTCCATAAAAAAGGTCACATTCACCCAGTGCTCCCATGCCTTTGCGACCGACTCCGAGTCCCGCCAGGGTTTAACGACAAGGTCGAAAAATGCCCGCACTGGAGTGCTAGCTTGTGCCTTCCCAGGCTTCGGAGCCTCCCCACCAGCTTCCTCCTTTGCCGACGAGCCCGACCCTCGATCAGCAGCCTGTGCGTTCGTGCTGCTCTCTGCACGCGCCTTTAGAGCAGCCAGCTCCTCTTTGAGCTGCTTGTTTTCAGCGGCCGTCTTCTTCTCCCTCTCTTCGGTTTCAGCGAGCCTGTTCTTCAGCACGCCAATCTCGTGATCCTTCTGACCACATTCCGTCCGCCACAGGTTGTTCTCTACGAGGATCTTCTGGTACTTTCGAGATGAGTTCAGCTTGTAGATCGCATCCTGCGGGAAAACGGACGAGGGTTTTCAGGCATTGTCAATGCTGTCGAAATATAAGGGCCGATCAGAGAACTGATGTACTCACAGCGGCTGCAGAGGTGCCTCTGGCTTCACGAAGTTCAATGCCAGCCTTGTGCATGATTGCCACTTTGATGGCCCATTTCTGGAAGAGATGGTGGCGGCAGAGCGGATTCATGTCCGTGTACGGGTGGCGCGGGCACTGGCATGGCCGTCTTGTACCGTCGAAGAGATGGTCGTGATTGGGGCAGTAGAACCACCACATGGCAAGGTCCTGTGCCACGATGTCTCGCCCAGGGTTTGCAAGAGCCTCCAAAAAACTTCTGCCAGAGTGGTGCGGCTTATCCGGATTCTCGCGGTTGTACTTATCGACCTGAGATAGTAGGACAGAGAAGACATTCAGCTCTGCCTAGCGCAACAACTTTAGACACTGCAAAAGGCTGGGTAATCAAGGGGTACCTTTGCCAAATCAGATTCGAGGCGCGGGAAGATGAACAGCTTGAAGAGGTCTTGCAACTGTATCCACTCGGTGTCGTTGTCGAGTTTAGCGTGCGCTATGCCGATGTAGTAATCTCCCGGCTCCCCACTGAATCCGGCCATCATCAAGACCGGCCAAAACGGAACGCCCACGACATAGGATTTTCGCATCTCGCCCTGCTCCCAGCCGCCGAGAGCGTTGATGTCGGGGTCGGGACAGCGATCGTCACTCAGGCCTTGGGCTCCCGATCGGCGAAACGCATGGGTCTTTTTGCTAATCCGCCAGGGCGGTCGCGCTACGTCGTTCATGACCCAATTAATCCAGTTGTTGTGAGTCACGTACGGAAGCTCTTCCTGCAGTTGTTCCCTTCCGTGCCTCAATGGGAAGAAAATGTGCTTCTTAGACCACTGAAGGGGGTCGCTGAAGTCCAGTGGCGGAATGATGTCCGCTCCGAATCGCAGTGGCACGAGGTCGTAGACGAAATGAATCCACAGAAAAAGACCACCAACACCGCAGAGCGCGAAGTTGACGTGCCGGGCCAAGAATTGGTGGGTCAGCCTGTTGGTCGCATTCGTCTTGGACTTTCGAGATTCGAAAACCACCACAGGGAGATCCTTCTGGCGGTCGGGGACGGCCGTGCTGCTACGCGTGTGGCGGACAAACATGTTGGCGAATCGAAGAGCACGAATGCTGCATCCCCTCCCCAACATTTGGTGTGCGAGTTGAATCATCACCTGCACCGCAAAACACCGCCAGAGACTTTCTGATAGTGCAACCCTGGCTCTCTGGTAGCACTCTTTGATCTCCCTCAGAAAGTGCTTCTCGTGCAGGTCCGCGTACTGCTCCGACGTGTAGCAATCGTCCAGAGAGTTTCGGTGCTGATCCTTGCCCTCCCTGCATAGACCAACGTGAAACGTGCTTAGGCATCGAATTTTCGAGAATCTGTTTGGCCATGAAGTGTGTAAATACTCACGCAACCTGCTTGTCGTGCAGCTGTTTCAGCTTGAGCTTCATGTACTCCCGCGATTCGCCGATGTACTCATCTGCTTGGGCCTTCGGGTAGTCGTAGAGTCGAGCTTCAAGTCTGCCCAGGAAGCCCAAAGCGCTCATCTTTGCCTTCATCATGCTCGGCGTACTAGGGATGGGCTCCTTTCCAGCCACCACTTCTTCGCCTCTCCGCATCATCTCGGCCTGCGCGGGGGTTTCCTCTGCCATGTACCGCAGGAACCTCTGAATCCTCCATCCAGTAACACGGGGCCCGTGGAGATAAACTTCATCCAAATCCACAGTTGACCACTCCGACTTTTTGTCGTTCCCCAGATGGCTTCCAACCTCGTCAGGATTCAGCGGGTCCAGACGCTCCTCCGCCGGAACCTCAGTCTTGGGCAGCGTTGACATGAACATGATGACCCACCACTTGTAGTGCAGCCAATACAGGATGTAGTCTTTTCTGGTTTTCGCCGCGAGATAATCGTAGGGGACCTTTGCGCGGCGAATCCTGCTGGCCACGTCGGCCTGTTTTCGAACTGACTCGTGCGTAGCTGATGCTGGCCCATCTGCATTTCTCTGAGGCGCGGCCTGCGATGCTTGCCCCTCCGCATTTCCCTGTGGCGCAGCCTGTGGTTCTTGTCCCTCAGCATTTCCCGCGGGCGCAGCCGACGATCCGACACCATGTGCACTTCCATGGGGCGATGCCTCTGATTCTGGGCCGTTCACATTGCCACGCGCCGGTTCCACAAAAAGACTTCGACTGGTGGCATTATCTTCAGAGGTTGGGCTTCGGCTAGCATTTTCCTCCCAATTCTCCTCAAACAACGCTCGGTGGGGGTCCTCGTCATCGTCCGCGAGATTAATGAACACCCCCCTCGGAATTCCGCCCCTCGAAATTCCGCCCTCAGCCACATTTCCCTCGACCCCGACTTCAGGGTTCGAGGCCGGAAATTCCTCCTGAGCATCCAGGAACACATCGCCCCCAACAGCTGCCTCGAATTCCCCATCCGCATCGCGGTCCCCGGTTAGATCAATCGGGGCATTGGGCAGTTGGCAGTCTGGAAGATCATGATACTCCTCATTGAGGTCGAAATCGAGAGCTGCGCTAAGAAAATTACCCGTACCGCCTTCGCCCGCCATCACGGTGTACCTGTTTCAGAGGACTCTATGCTCCACATGTGCGCGAAACCTGTCCTGAAAGGGTTATTTTCGACAAGCGAAATCTAAAACGCCTCGTCTGGAATGGGATGGACTGCCAACAAGCCAGGAGCATGTTATGCTGAAAAGAGACTCGTGATCGGAGTTGTTACGGGGAGAATAAACTATGAATGTGACCCTTCTGAGTGGAGAACAATGATGATCTGAAATGGATGTTCAATTTAGAGTTCTTTAGCGTCTCGAAAATGCCCCCATTTTTTAGAGTAGAAAAAAATTCTTCGCTGGCTCAACCCTCGGCGTGTGTGCAACTCTGAAAGAAGCAATCAATCATGCCATGCTGGATTGAAGGTATGGAAGCAAGGAGGGTGATGTTTTCCCCTAACATGTGTTAAAGTTTGAAGGAGGAATCAAGAAATGACATACAACAAAGAGTTATTTAAGCATTCTGGGACTCAGCCACATGAACATGAGCACCACAACCTCTGACTGCATCCCTTCTTCCCGCCACAGCTTCTCTAGATCTGGTCGCCAGACCCCAGATCTGGGGTTCTTCCCGCCTCTGTCAGAGCATTCGATTGGCTGGCTCCTCCACAATGGCGTAACTCTGAGCAACACCCCTCTCGCAGAGAACGAGTAACTCTGCCACGTGGAACACGGTCGGCGCGCAATGTAAAAGAATGTAAATACACTGGATTTTCAATTTAGTTCTATACACCGGTTGGTGTCGAGATGTGAGATTTTAAAAAACAAGCTTAAAGTGGCTTGGTTCATTTTACGAATCTGTTAAAAACACCATGTCGCGATCGAAAAATCCGGTAAAAAGCTGTCTCCTTGTGGTCCCGAAAGTTTATCACGTTTCCGAAATTTTTAATCATTTGTACTTAAAACCGTATTCTTAAAAATAAACGACTACTACCCTATAACCTGGTGTATAAAAAACAGTCGTTTCTCATTATGACACCAAAACAGCTGTTGTTCGTGTTGATGGGTGGACGCAAACTGCAACTGTGTTCGATATATGCAGTGTAGAAAACGTTTGTCGTTATTGAAAAAAACAATCTGCTCGTCTGTCTCTTAGCGAATGGCCAAGGTACATATTGCGTTTTATAATACTGAATTAGGCGGAGGAACGTGCAAGAGCTTGCACCCATGCGGAAGTAGACGTAATCTAGTAAAACGTGTGCAATTTACCAAATTTCACTGTAAACAAATGTCTAACACGAAGCTCAATATCGAGTTTCTCGATATTGCAGTTTTCACATACTGGTTGCGACGTGTTCGCAGAGATCACGTCGCAACCGTTTGCGCGAAAAGTGCACGTCAATTGACGGCTGCACTTTGACGTTGGCGAGAGCACGGGATTCGCCAGCTACATTGCACGCACGAATGTGCTCGGGCAGAGCACAGTTTCACGGGCAGGCCGAGCCTAGCCCTTGGGGCGGTGGCGGCTGTCCTACTCGGCGCAAGCTTGCGCCGCTTCCGCTTGGGTCGATTCCCAGCACGACCCAAGCAGCTGGACCCACGTTTTTTCCCAGGCAAATCCGCTCGACCAGCGCCAAGAGCAATATAACTTCCCCAACGAAGCCGACCATCATGCTGCAGCAGCGCTCCACCACAAAACTCCGACTTTCCGAACCCGAAGCCTTAACGGAGAGAGAGTGGCCCTAACGTGCTGCCGAAGCTTTGGTTCACGTCTGGCATGTGGCGTAGCCGCACGTCCTGCGGCAAGCGTGACGTTTGACCATCATATGTGGTTCGGAACGCACCGAATCCCTTGTACGAAGCTGTCTGATTCGTCCAAAGGGCCGTTCGTCTCCAGCTCCGGCCCTTTTCCCAAGGGCCATTCCCCTCCCTCCCACTCCCGTCGTTTGTGTGTGTCCCCAATTCCGTAGCCCAGCCCAGCGCCAGACGCCATGCGATGCGATGCACGTGTACAAGCGCATCGCATGGCTCCTTTCCTTTCAATCCGAACTAAGGCGTGCTAGATTCGTCTGTATCGATAATATAACACTTATGTGTGTCTAAAGTTGGTTGGCATCAGCCATACTGGCGGAACAAAGGGAAGGCCGTTGGAAGAAAAAGGAACCCCTCCTAGTGGTCCTAGACTTAGAACAAACTGCTAGACAAGAGAAAACCCTAGTCAATTATGAGAAATGTTGTCCGCCATTGATTTGAGGGGACACGAACACTTCGAAACAAGGCGGGTTCGTAAAACCCCTGGGCACTCCTATTCGTATTTCACGTCGTTTGAAATCGAATACACCTCTCTTTGTGGGTTACCACCTGTCTAGGACCTACTGTGGGGGCTCAATTGTGTTTAGTTGAGAACCGACAATCCACGGTGATGGTTTGTTTGTTCGTGATGGACATGGCGACAATCCACGGTGATGGTTTGTTTGTTCGTGATGGACATGGCGGTGGTAGGAAAGGCGTCGCTTCCAGAATCCGAACCGCAGGCGTGTTTGGGGGGGTGGCAAGACAAACGGCGGTGAAGTTTTGGTTGTCTGGTTTGGGAACATACATGCTGGTCGCATGCGGTACATTTGCACGAATGGCATTGCACAGCCAGTTGTGTACTTATTGGGCAAATTCTTTGGTCCTTAGGGCGTGTAAAATTGTAACGCCCAAACGCTATGGTAGAACATTTGGGCGTTTCTGGCGAGTGCTAAATATGTAACACTCAAGCGAACCCCGCCACAAAATTCGTCAGCATTTGGGTCACCCACCCCAAACTGCTGCGATCATAAGTTGATCGTGGCCTAGGATCTACTCAGGAAGGTTCGCACGCAGTGAGATAGTTTGGTGGGCCCTTGACCTCAATAGCAGAGTGAATGTAAAATGCTTGAGATGATTAAAACATGCAAGTACAAGGAATATAAATATGAGTACAGGGGAATACGAAACGACCTAACTAGCCATGTACTCTAAGGGGTACATTCCCTTATTCAAATTCATTCCCAACCGTGCGGCGCGTACAGTTTCGTAACTGTTCCCGCCAAAACCATCCTGCCTGAAGCTGCCCGATGCCATCTGCTCCGACGGTCCAGATGTGCTGTAACCGTCTGACTCTTCGGTTTCGATTCGGTTAACGAGTATCAGCCTCCCCTCACCGCCACCCCTGTCTGTACTGTGTACATGGCTCCGGGCAAGTTGAACTTTGGGGTGGGCATAATCCGTAACCACTGTTATTTTTAACCGCTAATTCGCGATAGGCGATCTGGTGTTTAATTATGTGGTGAAGGGTGATTGGATTGGGGCTCCTCAAGCACCTAGACCACCCCTCGTGCACCGCCCATCCTTTCCGCCACACATCGCAGCAGGTCAGTTCAACTTGGGACTGCTGGTTGCAGATTTTATCACTGAGCCAAATTTTGCGTTCTTGCGTGCCACTCGCCAAATGGTGTGTATTCGCAATGTGCGGTACCGTTAGTGGAGGGAAGGGAAGGCATTGGAGTTATGAAACCAAACCGAGACCAGAGGGAAAAAGGCTCAACTTATTGCGCAAGAAATGTACAAAGCAACGCTTCAATACAACTGAATAATTACCACTGGATGTCGAAATATTTAGTGATGTTACCCTCGGTTGTTCGCCCTCCAACAAAGGACAGTCAGCGAATGCATATTCTGTGCAAGTGTCCATGCTGGTGGTGGTGGTATGCTGGACGCTAAGTATCGAATGCTGCCAGTATTTATGGCGGTGGATTGCTGAAGGCAACTGGGCAAAGCGAGTCCCATATCAAACCATCAAAGGCACCTGGGCTTTGATCAAGTTCTGATGGTTGAGTTTTGGAGCGGAACTGTTCTCAAGCCTCACCGATGGCTAACAAGTCCAGAGTGATGGCATTCTTGCAGGGCGAAGCTGTGATTTGGAGCTTGAGCTTTACTCAGAAGCCAGGCGTTAGAAAAAGCATCATTCCTAGCCATACGTGGCTAGCACGCGACGCGCTATGGAAGTCAGCACGCCATGGGGTACCGGTAGCTCTTATGAAGCTTGCTGTGTAGTAGCAGCTGTGGTTGTTTCCGTGGTTCCTGCTTCGAGGCAGTAAATATTTCTCCATAAGAAACGCGCGCGCTTCGCGTTCACCGCGTTACACGAGAAATTAGACTGATTCAGTACATGCAGAAGGCACTCGTCTCGGCTGGCAGATAATGGGCTGTTTTTGCTTCGGCGGCGGGGGCTCGCGGGACCTTTCCCCACCGCCACAGCAGAACAATCCGACAGTCTCTAGAACGCCGAGTGATGCCAAGAATCCCACCGCGGTTACTAGAGCAGCGAGCGACCCGAAGAGCCCGAGGGCGCTGAAGCGACAAACTTCCAACACCGCAGCAGACCGTACTGGAATCACCACCAACGCCGCCACATTACCAGAGCCGTCCGTCGTACCGATCCCAACCGCAGCGGGATCCGCGTTACCGAATCCAACCGTTCTTCTACCGAACCCTAATGCTGTTCCCACTGCGCTCCCGTGTCCCGACAGCGGGCCTCTGCAACCCGCGGAGGCCGTTCTCGTGACTATATCGGATGGTGACAGTGATCTCGCTCCCCCCGCTACGAAACAACAGCAGCAAACGGTGTCCGCCTCGGTACTAAGTCCTAATCCCCTGGCGGTACCGCCGATCCTAGTTCCGTCTGCTACTACTACTAATGCTACTACTATTGGTAGCAGTTCTAACGCTCCCCAAGTCGCGTCTCCAGCTGTCGTGACACCTAGTCCGCGCGGGAATGCTGCCGCGTCTGGCGCATCTGCGAATGTGTTCGCCGCGCACCGCCTTCCCAGCCCGGCTGCTCCGTTGCCCGAACCTAAGGCCGCCACGTCATCAGCTACCGCCACGTCAGCCGGTCCTGTTCAGGTCGGCGCTGACGTCCAGAGCCCGTGCGGAGTGGCGGCGGGCGGAAGCTTCCAGAGTCCGCGCGGGCGGAAGAAGCCGTCCGCCGCGCAGCCGTTGCGCACCCCCAGCGCATTGGCGCGCCTCCCCCTCCCCGCATCTTCCGCCGCCGCCTCCTTCGCCGCCTCCGCCCCTTCTTCCGCCGCTTCCGCCTCCTCCGCGTCTTCCATCCCCGTCGGCGCATCCTCCATCTCCCCCTCCACCCGTTCCGCCTCCCCCTCCGCCGCTTCCGCCTCCCCTGCCGCGCATTCCCCCGGCGCCAGCCAACCCGCGGAAAACTCCTCAAAAAACCCTTCCCCAAGAACAGCTGCCGCCGCCAGCGCTGCCGCCGCGCAGGTGGCGCAGGTCGGTTCCGCCGCTGCCTCCCCCGCCGCTACGCCCTCTGCTGTCGGAACTGGCGGCGTCCCCGGCGCTCCGCCGGCTGGGGGGGTGGTGGCTGCGGCGGTGCCCCTTCCTCTCCCAGCAAGCGGCGAGATCGCCGCGCGCGCAGCTGCAGCGGGAAGCGCGGCGCAACCCGCGAGCCCGGCGGGTGGCGCGGGCACAGGGGGGGCGGGGGGCGCGCGGGCTGTGATTCCGCCCTCCCCCAGTGCCGCCCCGTTGGGGGCGAGTGAGCGGGGAGTGGGGGGAGGAGGGGAGAGAAATGTGGGGTCTGTAGGGAGGAATGGGGAGGAAGGGGGTGAGGAGAAGCAACAGCAACAGCCGCAGAGTCACAATCAAGGGCAGAAAGGGAACGTTGATGACGCAAACGCATCGCTCTATAGCGGGGACAGCAGCGCCAGCACCAGCACTCTAACCGAAGCAACACCAACCCAAGCTGCTGGTGCTGCTGCTGCTTCTTCTCCTACCGCTAGTGCTGCTTCTGCCGCCGCCGCTGCTGCTGCTGCTGCTGCTGCTGCGGTTGATGCGGCTGTCTCTGCTGCTAAAGCGCCCACGCCGCTGATTCCCTTCACGTACGCGCAGGTGCAGCAGATGGCGGGGAGGTTTGCGGAGGAGGGTAGAATCGGCGAGGGCGGGTTCGGCGTGGTGTACAAGGGGAATTTACCCACGAAAAGCGGGCGCAAGATTCCCGTGGCTGTGAAAGTGCTGAATGCGGAGGGGCAGCAGGTAGGGCTTTGATATAATCACAGCAGGTAGGGCTCTGATATAATCACAGCAGGTAGGGCTCTGATATAATCACAGCAGGTAGGGCTCTGATATAATCACAGCAGGTAGGGCTCTGATATAACCACAGCAGGTAAGCGTGTGAGAATGATGTATAGTCACAGTCTCTGTATCAAGCACAGAGATGGGGGGAGTGCTAGAAGGGGGAAGGGAATGAGGGGAGGGATTTAGGGCGACAGGTGGGGGAGAAATGGGGTAACGGATAAAGGACGAGAGATGGGGGGCGTGATGGGGGTGGAGGAGAGATTGGGGCATGGATGTGAGGGAAGGGGAATGGGGATCGAGAAGAGAAGATGCACCAACAACTAGTATGTCATGACGCACCAAATTCTGTGATTGTCTGGTCCCTCCCCCTATTCTCTTCCACCTCCCCCCCCCAAGCACTTCCCCCATTTCTCGCCCTTAACTCCTCCCCCCATCTCTACCCCAACTATATCCCCTCACGGGAACCCTTCCGCCGCTCCTTTTCCCACCAGGGCGGGTGCGAGTGGTTGATGGAGGTCACGTGTTGCTGCATCTCTCCTGGACAGCGTGCTGTCCACCTCTCCCATTCCTTCCCTTCCCTCTCCCTCTGCCCGTTCTCTGCTTCACTCCCTCTCCTCTTCCCCTCCCTCCTCTTTCTCTCCCCATTCCCCATCAGGGCGTGCGCGAGTAGTTGACGGACGGAGGTCACGTGTTGACGCATCTCTCCTGGTCAGCGTTCTATCCCACCTCTCCCATCCCACTCCTTCCCTCCCCTCTCCCTCTCCCCCTACCCCATCTCTGCCCCTCTCTCTTCCCCTCCCCGTCCCATGTGCCTACAGGGAGGGCGAGCGCTAGTGGTTGACTGAAGTCAGCGTGTTGGCCCATCTCTCCCACCCCAACCTCGTCTCCCTCGTGGGTTACTGCGCACACCACCACCTCCACCTCATGCTGCTAGTATACACCACTCACCCTCCCCTTCACCTCTTCCCACCCAACCAGGGAGAGCGCGAGAACAGAGGTCAGCGTTTTAGCCCATCTCTCTCACTCACCCCAACCTCGTCTCCCTCGTGGGCTACTGCGCGCACCACCCCCACCGCATGCTAGTATACCCCGCTCAATTTTCCCCTTCACCCTGCCCTCCCCTCCTTCCCTGTTCCCCTTCCCCTCCCCATGTCCCCTTCCCCTTCTTCTCCTCTCCCCCTCTCCCTCTCTCCCTCCCCCTCTCCCTCTCTCCCTCCCCCTCTCCCACTCTCACTTCCCTCTCTCTTCCCCTCAATACCGGGCGAGCGAGAATGGTTGACAGCGTGTTGGCTCATCTCTCCCACCCCAACCTCGTCTCCCTCGTGGGCTACTGCGCGCACCACCATCCCTCCTCCCATCTCCCCCTGCATCCCTTCCCCCTCCCCATTCCTTCCCCCAATCTTGTCTACATTCAGGGCGAGCGAGAGTGGTTGACTGAAGTCAGCGTGTTGGCAAACCTTTCCCACCCCAACCTCGTCTCCCTCGTGGGCTACTGTGCGCACCACCACCACCGCATGCTCCTCTACCCTGCTCTATTCTCCCCTTCACCCTGCCCTCCCCTCCTTCCCTGTTTCCCTTCCCCTCCCCATGTCCCCTTCCCCTTCTTCTCCTCTCCCCCTCTCCCTCTCCCCCTCCCCCTCTCCCCCTCTCCCTCCCCCTCTCCCCCTCTCACTTCCCTCTCTCTTCCCCTAACTACAGGGCGAGCGAGAATGGTTGACTGAAGTCAGCGTGTTGGCCCATCTCTCCCACCCCAACCTCGTCTCCCTCGTGGGCTACTGTGCGCACCACCATCACCGCATGCTCGTATACCCCTACCTGCCCAACGGCTCCCTCGAGCGAAGACTTTTCGGGCTGCCCGCAAAGGAAACGCCGCTGACGTGGCAGCAGCGGATTGGCATTGCGGTCGGCGCGGCAAAAGGGCTGGCTTATTTGCACGAGGAAATGGAGAAACCGGTGAGTTGTGAGTCAGCTCACGAGGTCCGTTCTATGTCGACTCAAAAGTATTTGGCCGGCCTGGCATTGCTTGCAGTGCAGTCGGTGCAGCAAAGGGGTTGGCTTATTTGCACGAGAAGATGGAGAAACCAGTGAGTGATGAGTTGACTTGTATGTTAGGTAAAATTACTTGAATAAAGACTTTTTGAGTCTGCTCAGACTACTCAAAGGGCCAAGCGCATTCGCACGAAGAGATGGAGAAATCGGTGAGTCATGGGATTGACGGCACGGCTCAATTACCCTATCCCTATCCCTATCCCGTCCCACCCTATCCCACCGCTTCCAACCCATCCCGCCCCACCAGGACTGGCAGGCCAGGCTCTCAGACCAAGGGCTAGGGCTGCCCAAGGGATTGGACCAGCAGTGGGCTGCCCTTGCGTTGGAGCCACTTCTGCTGACGTTTCCCATCAGTGCCCGCCTGCCCTTTTGCCCTCGCCCCACCACTCATCCCACCCTATCCCACCGCTCCCAACCCACCCAACCACATCAGATCACCTACCGTGATTTCAAGACGTCCAACATTCTCCTGACCAAGGACTGGCAGGCGAAGCTCTCAAACTTTGAAGAAATTGCACTCACTCACTGCTACCACCGCGTTCCCTTCTCTCTTTCTGTTTCTTCTTGCCCCACCCCACCCCACCGCACCCCACCCCATCAGATCATCTACCGTGATTTCAAAACGACCAACATCCTTCTCACCAAGGACTGGCAGGCCAAGCTCTCGGACGTTGTGCTTGCACTCACTCACTGCTACTGCCACCTTTCCTTCTCTCTTCCCGTTTCCTCATCCCCCACCCCACCCCACCCCACCCCACCCCACCCCACCCCACCCAACCCCATCAGATCATCTACCGTGATTTCAAAACCACCAATATCTTGCGCACCAAGGACTGGCAGGCGAAGCTCTCAGATTTCGGGCTCGCACTCACTCACTGCTACCATCACCTTTCCCTATCTCTTCCCTTTGCCTTGTCCCCCATCACACCCCACCCCACCCCACCCCTCTCCACCCCATCAGATTATCTACCGTGATTTCAAGACCTCCAACATCCTGCTAACCAAGGACTGGCAGGCGAAGCTCTCTGATTTCGGGCTGGCTAGATGCGGGCCTGAGGGGGACAACACCCACGTGTCTACGCGGGTAAGCATGCCAAGGGGTTTTCAATTAGACTCGAAACTCCCCACATATTCATGTGTCTACACGGTTAGAAACTCGAGGAGGGCGATGACTGAGACGGTTCAAAAGTCACAAGCGGGCCCGAGGGAGGGGTGTGTTTTAAGTCGACTCAAAACACGGTTAGAAATCCGAGGAGAGCGATGTCTGAGACGGTTCAAAAGTCATAAGCGGGCCCGAGGGAGGGGGAACAACGCTCGGGTGTCTACTCGGGTACGAACCCGATGGGGGCCAATGCTTAAGGGGTGGCTTTACAAGGGATGATGTGTGAGTCAACTCACAAGTCTGGGTGAGTGAAGGCCTGGCTAGAGCTCGATGGAATGTCCTGATCGACTCAAAAATCAGAAGTGGGTTTCCTTGGGTGACAGGAGTCACTCAAAGTCACATACTAGGGTGTCAGCATGCGCATGCGGTAGAGGGTGTCAGCATGCGCATGCGGTAGAGGGTGTCAGCATGCGCATGCGGTAGAGGGTGTCAGCATGCGCATGCGGTAGAGGGTGTCAGCATGCGCATGCGGTAGAGGGTGTCAGCATGCGCATGCGGTAGAGGGTGTCAGCATGCGCATGCGGTAGAGGGTGTCAGCATGCGCATGCGGTAGAGGGTGTCAGCATGCGCACGCGGTAGAGGGTGTCAGCATGCGCACGCGGTAGAGGGTGTCAGCATGCGCATGCGGTAGAGGGTGTCAGCATGCGCATGCGGTAGAAGGTGTCAGCATGCGCATGCGGTAGAGGGTGTCAGCATGCGCATGCGGTAGAGGGTGTCAGCATGCGCATGCGGTAGAGGGTGTCAGCATGCGCATGCGGTAGAGGGTGTCAGCATGCGCATGCGGTAGAGGGTGTCAGCATGCGCATGCGGTAGAGGGTGTCAGCATGCGCATGCGGTAGAGGGTGTCAGCCTGCGCATGCGGTAGAGGGTGTCAGCATGCGCATGCGGTAGAGGGTGTCAGCATGCGCATGCGGTAGAGGGTGTCAGCATGCGCATGCGGTAGAGGGTGTCAGCATGCGCATGCGGTAGAGGGTGTCAGCATGCGCATGCGGTAGAGGGTGTCAGCATGCGCATGCGGTAGAGGGTGTCAGCATGCGCATGCGGTAGAGGGTGTCAGCATGCGCATGCGGTAGAGGGTGTCAGCATGAGGCAACTTGTCCAGTCCAGTCTACAAGAGTATTCTTGGTTTGAGACGTCTCAAAACCAAGAGTATGGCAAGGCTCCCACCTGGATCGAAAGCATGGAGCAAGCCACTGCGCCCATGCTCGTGTCTGGTCCGCGAGGTGACTCGACTCAAAAGTCACCTCGTTACAATGTGCCCACGCTCGTGTCTGGTCCACTCGCTGTGCCCACGAGCCCACGCTCGTGTTCACTATGCCTTTTCTCAAGAGCTGGGAATGTGTGCTCCCTTAGCAAAAGTTGCATATACGAGTAGCCCACGTGTTTGCAACAGTGGGACTTGTTAACCCTGTTCCCGTGCTTCAAGGCGTCTCAATTCCCCTACACCCGCCTCGCTCTCTCCTTTGTCCCTCCTCCTCTCGCCCCTCCCCCTCCCACCCCTCCCTCTTCTCTGTGGTTGGCTCTGTGTGTGGGCTATCTTGCCCCTGAATACATACATGCTTTGAGGGACGGGAGCGCCTATTCTCAAAACCCTTCTGGCCTATCCTCATTCCCCCTCTTCCTCCTCCTCCCCCCCTTCCCCTCCCAATCTTCCCTCCCTCAATGCAGGTGGTGGGCTATGCGCCCCCGGAGTACATTCTGACGACTGTGCCGTGCGAATGTCTCTCAGAATCCTCCTGCTCTATGCTCCCCGTTCCCTGTTCCCCTCCTGCTCCCCTGCCCACAATGCAGGTGGTGGGCACAGTGGGTTATGCGGCCCCTGAGTACGTGCTGACATGCCATCTGATTGAGAAGTGGTTTGTGTTCCTTTGAGAGGTCTCATAACCCTCCTGCCCTATCCTCCCTGTTCCCCCTCCTGCTCCTTCTCCCCCCATGCCAGGTGGTGGGCACGGTGGGCTATGCGGCCCCTGAGTATGTGCTGACGGGGCTGTTGGTGTTAGCCCTCAATCTCACAATTTGTACTTGTACTTTTATATCCTAGTTTAGTTTAGTGTAGTTTGCACTTTGTGTTTGGTTGGGTGTACACCCACATCCCAACCAAACCCAAATGTAATCTCCAAGCAATCTCCAACCCACCAATTGGAGCTTGCCTTGGGATTACCCTTGATTCCCTAGGATTGCCCCCTGATTCCCCTCTCATCCCTACCTTGCTCATTCCTACCTTGCTCATTCCTGATGTACTTAAAGAGCTTTGAGCTCACTACTAATGTATCAGTTCTAAGCCTAAGTTCTGACATGGTATCAGAGCCCTTCAACCGCATACGCGGATCGTGATCCTCTTATCTTCGCGGATGCTCGGCGTAGCCATCGTCAATCTCGTCGCCGGTGATTCGCGACGTCCGTAGGCGGAAATCTTCCCGCACCACGTTCCCGTCAATTTCGACGACGTCAACAATATTTCTGGTAAGCGCATCGTCGGCGCTATAACCTATCACTCGTTTTCGTCGAGCGCGCTCGTTTTCGTCGAACGTTTTCGTCGGCCTTCTTCTCCTCGTCGGGCCGCCGCCCGTCGCCCCGCAGCTTCTCGTCGGGCTGCCGCCCGTCGCCCTGCAGCGTCATCTTCGGGCTGCCGCTCGTCGCCCCGCATCTGCACTTCTACCCCCATCCCCCCCGTTTCCCGCAGCTGAACAGGTGCAGCAGCGCAGCCGAGCAGCAGCGTAGCCGCGAAGCTGAGCAGCCGTGTAGCCGTGAAGCCGAGCAGCAGCGTAGCCGTGAAGCTGAGGGCGGTGTGTGGGGGGGTGTGTGGGATTAGGGTTAGTTCTACCAAAATCGGCCGATTCGACCTAATTTCGACGGCCTGAAAACTCCTTCTACGAGGCAATTCGACGCGGCCGATATTGACGGTTTTTGCCTTTCGCGTCCATCGGATTTCGAAGTGACTATCGGTGACTTAAGAGCGGCGCTCCGCGCGAGAATTTAAGGGACCTCCACCATGGCTCTCTCATCTTCCACCATGGCCAACCCCATCACCCCGCTCCGCCTTGAAGCTGATGGCTCTAGCTCCAACTTCAAGGCATGGAGCTACGGAGTTGACAAGCACCTCCTGAGCCGTGACGTGCAGGGCCTTGACCTCAAGGACGTCCTCCTCAACCGTGGCAAGGGGAAACAGCCTACTCTCCCCCGTGAGCCGACCGAATCTTCTAATGATGCTGACGTGAGGGCGTACGAGGAAGCTGTTGAGAAGTACCGGAAATGGGAGAAGGCCGATGCTGCCATCATCAGCGTCTTCATCGCCTCCACCCCTCCCGAACTTGTCAACACGTTCCACAACTACCCTACCTCCAACGCCATCTGGAAGTATCTCCAGGATCGGTTCATGAACAAGACGGCGGTCGGAGTGGCGATCCTCATCCCCAGCATGTTTCAGGTCCGACTTGAGGACTGCTCAGGAATGGCCGACTACATCGCCAAGGTGCAGACCATCCATGGTGAACTGAAGGAGCTGGGTATAGTTTTCCCCGAGCAAGCCCCTGCAGCCGCCCTTCTTGTTGGACTCACCTCGGCATATGAAGTCACGAGGAAGATGCTCCTCACGCTCTCAGCGGAAGACCTCACCTTTGCTAAGGTCTCCACCGCACTCCTCTCTGCCGAGAAAGACTCCACGGCTCAGGCCAAGGCGTACGCCATCCGCGCTCCCATGCCCCAAGCAAGTGTCGCAGCGGCTCTCGCCTCGGCGCCCTTCCAGCGCAACCGCTTTCCTCCGTGCCCCTACGTCGTCAAGTATGGCAACCGCAAGGGACAAGTGTGTGGTGGCACTAACCACCCCCTTGCTACGTGCTTCAAGAAGAAAGACGACGAGTGGTATGCACTTCACGGAGTTGACAAGAAGCCGCCAAACTGGATGCGCCCTCGTAAGGCCAACCTAGTTGAGGTCCAGGACCCCGCTTCGGCTAGTACTAATGATAGTGCTCCTGCTGATGTGCGTATCAACCTGTTGTTCCCTGGCACTGCCATGATTAATGAAGCTACCTCCCAGTACATCGGCTCATCACAGGCACCACAATACATAGAGTTCACACTCGACAGCGGGGCCACTCACACTGTGCTCAAGGAGACACTCTCCTTCAAACCCTACGCAACACCCATTCCTCTCTTAGGAGCTGACTCAAGCTTCACCACTCTTGCCAAGGGTACATCCACAGTCCCGTGCCCTGCCTTCCCATCTGGCACTGTCACTGGCATGTGCGTGCCTTCACTGCGTCACAATCTAGTTGCCCAAACAGAAATTCAGGAGGCGGGGCTACGCACCATCTTCCCAGAGAACGAGGACTATTGCGACATCATCGATCCACGCACCAACAAAACTCTGGCCCGCTACACCCTCAACAGCAACGGCCTCTACACGCTACGCGTCCCTCTCCCACAGGTGTCAACCACCCAAGCACAACCCACTATCACACCATGTTCATGTCGCACCCTCTCCAACCCGACCATCCTCTACCACCATCGGCTCGGGCACCCAAATTTCCGCACTCTTGCTGACATGGCCTCCAAGAAACTTCTCCTCGGCCTGCCAGCCGCACTTCCTCCACCACCTGACTCACCCGCTCCCACGTGCCTTGATTGCACCAAGAGCAAACTGCGCCAACAGCCCCATCCTGCCTCACCCACAGTCGCAGCAGCACCGCTGGACCTCGTGCACATGGACGTCTGGGGCCCTGCCCCTGTTCTCGCACGAGGTGGCTATCGCTACTTCCTTGTTATCGTGGATGACCACTCCCGCTACGTCTCTGTTCACCTCCTCCACTCCAAGGCCGAGGCTCCAGAGGTCATCATAGCGTGGGTTAAGCAGGCACAGACCACTTTTGACCGCAAGGTCAAGCGCCTTCACTCGGATGGGGGGGGTGAATTTTGGAACGACAAGCTCAAAGCCTTCTGCTCCTCAGAAGGCATCCAGCAAAACTTCACCCTTCCTGACAGCCCGCAGCAGAACGGCATAGCAGAAAGCCGCAACCACACCCTGGTGCAAATCACTCGGTGCCTCCTCAGCCACTCCAATGCTCCACTCTCTCTCTGGGGATACGCCCTCTACCATGCTGCCCTCCTCTACAATCTTTACCCCCACCCGCATCTTCCCGACACCACTCCTACCACACTCTGGCTCGGGAAAACACCCACTGCTCTCTCTCTTCGCGTCTGGGGGTGCACCGCCTATGTCCTCCTCAACCCTCAGGCTAGGCGGCAGCACGGTGGCAAACTCGCCCCCAAGACTCAGACGTGCGTCTACCTTGGGCACAATGCCGACTCCCCTGACTACCTCTTCCTCAACCCCTCCACCCAACAGCTAGTTCGGAGCCGCGACGTGGTCTTTGATGAGACCCGCCCATTCTACTCCACCTCGGGTCAGGATCCTCCCTCTGACCCACCCTCTCTCGTCTGGGCAGACTTTGATGCGCCTCCCGACCTCCCGCCTGCACCTGCCCCCTCACCTCCTACCTCCCCTGCCATCGCACCATCACCCTCTGCGGTCTCTGACCCGACCTCACCGGTGTCTTCGGCAGCAGCTCCCCTATCCCCCTCCCCTTCCCCTCTGCCAGCTGTGCCGCCCCCTTTGAGCGCACCAATCACATACCATCGGCGGTCGAACCCTCCGGCCCCACCTCCTCCACCAGTCCCCTCTTCCACCCAGGCACTCGCTCCACCACAGTCGCCCAAAGTAATCACGTACCAGCAGCGCCCACTTCCCCCGCCCAAGTCTCCCAAACCAACCCCTTCGACACCACCTGCTCCACCCTCCTCTCCAGTGGCTCATCACACTCGCTCGCACGGCGCTGCTCTTCCGCTGGCCCTGGTTCTTCGCTGCACAGCGATCACTCCGCCTCCTCCTGCTGGGGGGGATATGCCTTCTACCCTTCTGGAAGACAGGCATGAGGAGCTATGTGATCTCCATGCAGTCACTCCTCAGCTCTCGCACATCTTCCCCGACATCACTGACTCACCCTCACTCAACATCACGGAGAACCCGACCATCCCCATCCCTCTCACCGTTCAAGAGGCTCTCTCGGGTCCCCATGCTGCCGAATGGCGTGCTGCCATGGAAGCTGAGATTGAAGCCTTCACCCGCAACCACTCCTTCGACGACGAGACTCCACCTCCAGGAGTTAACATCGTTGGTGGCAAGTGGTTGTTTCGAGTGAAACAGCTTAGGGACGAGGCCCCAGTGTTCAAAGCGCGTTACGTGGCCAAATGGTTCACCCAGCAGCAGTACCTGGACTTCTTCAAGACCTTCTCCCCCACATCCAAACCACCCACTGTTCGCACGCTCTTGGATGTAGCAGCACGAGAAGACTTTGAGATCAAATCCATGGACGCATCTTCGGCCTTCCTACAAGGACGCCTCAAGGAAACTGTATTCATGGATCGACCTGAAGGCTTTCCGGGAGAGTTTCCTCCCAACACTGTCTGGAAGTTGAATCGCCCTGTCTACGGCCTCAAGCAAGCCCCTCGGGAATGGCACAACAAAGTGAAGGAAGTCCTTCTCTCACTGGACTTTCACCCATCCTCTGCCGACCCGACCCTCTTCATTCGTCGCCACTCTGAGCCATTCTACATCCTTGTCTACGTCGATGACTTCATCCTCGTTGCCAAGGACTCGGCCCAGATGGCCTCTGTTCAGGAGGCCCTAAGCAAGGCCCTCTTGATGAAAGACCTCGATGATCTCAAACACTACCTGGGGATGGAAATCACTCGCGATCGCCAGGCTCGCACCATCTCTCTTTCCCAGGAGTTCTACATCAACAATGTGCTCAAGCGGTTTGAGATGGAGCTGTGCACACCCATCGCCACCCCACTGCCGCTACAACACCTCCTCACCGCCCCAGCTGTACCCACACCAGAGGCATGCACTGAGCCGTACCCAGAGCTTGTTGGGTCCCTCATGTACGCCATGATGTGCACCCGGCCTGACTTGGCATACCCTGTCAGTGTCCTCTCTCGATATGTGGCTCCTGGGCGCTTCACAGACCTTCATTGGAAAGCGGCAAAGCGGGTGTTGCGCTTTCTGCAGGGCACCAAGGCTCATGTCCTCACCCTTGGTGGGCTTTCCCCTCCTCGACTGGAAGGTTACACGGACTCCTCCTGGGCAGATGACCAGACCGACCGACGCTCCTCCCAAGGCTACTGCTTCACCCTTGGGAGCGGGATTGTCAGCTGGCGCTCCACCCGGTCGTCTGCAGTCTCCCTATCCTCCTGTGAAGCCGAACTCTATGTCGGCACCATGGCGGCTCAGGAGGCCCGCTGGCTCACATTCCTACTCCAGGAGCTTGGCTTTCCTCAGTCCACTCCCACCCTTTGGTGTGACAACCAGAGCACCATTCACCTCTCCCAGGACCCCGTGTATCACACTCGCACCAAGCACATCGAACTTCGTCACTTCTTCATCTGTGACCTTGTCCAGCGAGAGCAGCTCAATGTGGAGTATGTGGCTTCCGACTGCAACTTGGCTGATCTGTTCACCAAGCCCCTTGGGAAGGTCCCTCACCATTGCCTTCTAGGCGCCATGGGGCTCTGCGCTCCTCCTTCTCCACCCTGAGTTCGATTGACGCCTATGGGGGGGTGTTGGTGTTAGCCCTCAATCTCACAATTTGTACTTGTACTTTTATATCCTAGTTTAGTTTAGTGTAGTTTGCACTTTGTGTTTGGTTGGGTGTACACCCACATCCCAACCAAACCCAACCCACCAATTGGAGCTTGCCTTGGGATTACCCTTGATTCCCTAGGATTGCCCCCTGATTCCCCTCTCATCCCTACCTTGCTCATTCCTGATGTACTTAAAGAGCTTTGAGCTCACTACTAATGTATCAGTTCTAAGCCTAAGTTCTGACAGGGGCATCTAACAGTAAAGAGTGATGTGTGATATGAACCCTTTCCCTTCCTCTTCCCCCAACCTCCCGCTCTCTCCATCCTTTTGCTCTGTTCTCTCTCCCATTGCAGGTGGTAGGTACAGTCGGGTATGCCGCCCCCGAGTATGTGCTGACGGGGCATCTAACAGTGAAGAGTGGCGTGTGATGTGAACCCTTTCCCTTCCTCTCCCCTCCTGCTCTCTCCACCCTGCCCCGCTGCTCTCTTCCCCCACTGCAGGTGGTGGGCACGGTGGGATATGCCGCCCCAGAGTACGTGCTGACGGGGCATCTGACGGTGAAGAGTGACGTGTACAGTTTCGGCGTGGTGCTGCTAGAGCTGATGACTGGCCGGCTGGCACTTGACAAGTCAAGGTGAGTCAACGGGGGTCAACGCAAGTCAACAGGAGTCAATGGGAGTAGGCACTGGTTCTGACAGGCCATCTGACGGTGAAGAGTGCCGTGTACAGCTTTGGCGTGGTGCTGCTGGAGCTGATGACTGCCAGGTTGGCTTGGCACTCGATAAATCAAGGTGAGTCAACGGGAGTCAACGCAGGTCAATAGAAGTCTGAGAGTCCATCTGGCCAGGAGGAATTACCGAAAGACATGTGCAGCTTTGGAGTGGTGCTGCTGGAAATCATGAGTGGCCGGCTGGCTTTTGATAAGTCAAGGTGGGTGAATGGAGTCAAGGAAAGTCAATGTTTGTCGGCACTAAAGCTGAGGGGCCATATGGCAGTGAGGAATGACGTGTACAGCTTTGGAGTGGTGCTGCTGGAACTCATGACTGGCCGGCTGGCCCTTGATAAGTCAAGGTGAGTCAACTCAAGTTAAAGCAAGGTGTTGCTGGAGCTGAGGACCGGCCGGCTGGCTCTTGACAAGTCAAGGTGAGTCAACCAAGGTCAATGCAGGTCAATGGGTGTAGATGTGCGTCAGTGATGCTGCTGGAAATGATGACTGATTTGACTGGCTAAAAACAAATTTAGATGGACAACGGAAGTCAATGCGAGTCAATGCATATGGAGAGTCAAGTCAAGATGAGTCAGCGCAAGACCGAGCAAGACATCCTAATAAAGGTCAGCACTATCCAACTCCAGCCACTGATACGTGAGTCAACGCAAGTCACCCCACCCTTCTCTTTTCTCCCTCCCATCCTTCAACCCACCACAGTTCCAAGGAAGGTAATTGCAAGCCAAGTGGGCAGCCCCCTTCCTCGCTGCCCCCTCCAAGCTCGACCAAATCAGGCTACCTGCCCCACGCACCTCACGCTCCTATTCCCTTCCCTGCTTTCCCTTCCTCCCATCCTTCAACGCACCGCAGGCCCAAGGACGGAGGAACAATCCCTGCCAGAGTGGGCGGCTCGCTCCCCCCTCCAAGCTCTGCCGAATCATGGACCCGGCCCTCTCCATCTCTTCTTCCCTATGGTTCCCTCATTTCACCGCACCGCAGGCCCAAGGAGGAACAGTTGCTAGCAGAGTGGTAGGCCCCCCTCCTCGCCTCGCCCGCCAAGCTTTACCATGCACCCTGCCGTCTCCATCTGCCCCCTTCTCCCGCCCACTCCCCTTCTCCTTTTCACCCTTATTCCACCCACTGCAGGCCCAAGGAGGAGCACTCCCTTGTAGAGTGGAAGCCCCCTTCTTAGCTCCTACCCTCCCCATTCCCCCTTCGCCACCGCCCATTCCCATCCCCCTTCTTCCGTCCTGAACCCACTGCAGGCCCAAAGAGGAACAATCCTGGCAAAGTAAGCCGCCCCCTTCTTAGCTTCCCCTCCAAGCTTAACCGAACCATGCACCCTGCCCTCTCCATCCTTCCCCCCCATTCCGTCCCCTCCTCTCCCATCCTGATTCCGCTGCAGACAAAAAGAGGAACAATCACTAGCAGAATGGGCAGCCCCATTCTTAGCTTCCCCCTCCAAGCTCTATCGCATCATGGACCCTGCTCTCTCGGGCCGCTACAGTGTGAAGGGCGCTCAGGCGGCGGCGGCTGTAGCGAGAGACTGCCTCACCCGCAAGGCCAAGCAGCGACCGCGCATGTCCGAGGTGGTAACCGCGTTACAGCCGGTGCTGGAGCTGTTTGATATGGCGGGATTTGATTCCTCCGGTGTTGGTGTGGGCGGCGGGCTGGGAGGAGCGGCAGGAGGGGGAGGAGGGGGAGGAGGAGGTATAGGGGGAGGGAGTGGAGCAGGGGGAGCGTTGCTCACTAGGTCTTCTAGTGAGAATAACACAAGTACGACCAAGGGAGGTAGTGTAAGTGGTGTAGGGGCAGGAGGGGGGTTGGGTAGTGGGAGGAGGTGGCAGAAGGTAGGGGCTGGTCAGGGCTCGCTAGCTCAGAAGCAATTGTCACTTAGGGAAGAGAGAAGTCAGCTGTCTATAAGGGAGGAGACACAGCAGGATTGTTAGAGGATGGTTTACCGTATAAGCCGATATTGACCATGTGTTGTCTTTGTTTGAATTGATAAGCTGCTTCTACCTGATTAAGAGCTGATAAGCTGCTTCTACCTGATTAAGAGCTGTTGGTGTATTTAAAGGCAAAAGCAGCCTCTTGAAGCGATTGTGGGCACTAGCCCCTAGCTTGTCTGAAGCCATGCACCGCAATTCGCATAGCATGCCCACTCCTATCGTAGCTTCTTTCCAGCTTCCCCACCTCACGATTGGTAGGAGCAGGGCCCAAGCCATTAGGGTTAATATCATGGTTGTTCACAAGGAACTGAAATTCCTCAAATGTCTAAATATGAACCTCTGCAAATGTTTGGTTCCTTTTTTTTTAAGGCACTCGTCCGATTAGTGTCATCTTTATCGCGTACAACATACCTACTATAGTAGACACTTAGTCGATGTCAGAATGAAGAATGGATGATGCATTGATGTTGGTTGGGGTACATATAGCTAACCCTAAGTTTTGTACCCCCTAAGACAAACCTCACTATAGGCTACAACATTTGACACACCCCCATAGCCTAAGTGAGGGGTGTCTAGCAGAACCACACGAGTACGGTCACAAGACCAGTCCAAGAAACGAAGCTCAGGGTGGATCACAACGTCACCACACAGTCTGAGCACAAACAACAGTGGCCACAAGGCCAGTCCAAGAAGTAACAGAGGTATATAGAAAGCAAAGTAAACAGTACACTCAAGTCTAAGCAACACGAGAACCAGTGTCAACAAGGCCTAACTGCACACAGCACCTCTGGTGGTCACAAGGCGGAAGCGCCTTGGTGAAGATGTCTGCAGTGTTGGCCTCGGACTCCACAAACTCAAAGCGAGCCTGTCCACGCCTCTGCAACTCTCGCAGAAGAAAGTACCTGACGTGAATGTGCTTCACTCTGCTCTCCAGTCGTGGCTCTCGACAAAGGAGAATAGACGCCTTGTTGTCAGTGAACAAGGTCGGTGCAGAGCTCGGCCGCTCACCAAGGTCGGTGAGCAAGAAGGTCAACCAACGCAGCTCCTGTGCCGCCATGGCACCAGCGTAGATCTCAGCCTCAGCTGTAGAGGTCGAGACCGAAGAGGAGCGCGTGGACCGCCAGGAAACAGCTCCAGAACCCAGGCTGAAACAGTACCCCTGAGTAGACCTGTGAGTCTCAGCGTCGTCAGCGTAAGAGGAGTCACAGTGACCAGTAAGTACGACAGACTGCTGCCCTCCAAGAACTAGCCCCACGCCTGACGTCGTCGCTAGGTACTTCGCCACCCTCACAGCTGCTGTCCAGTGAACAGGACGGTGTCTCCCTGGCGCAACAAAGCGCGCAAGAACGCTGAGAGGGAAGGCGAGGTCCGGGCGAGTACAAGTCATCAGGTACATGAGGCAACCCACAAGCTCTGCGTAGGGACCACTAGGCTCGAACGGCTCGTCAGGAAAGGGTCCAGTGAGTCTGTGGTCAACAGCAAGAGGTGTGCGCTGTACTGTGGAGTGCTGAAGCCCGAACCGCTGAAGGACCTGCTGCACCATGTGCGACTGTGAAAGTGTAATGGTGCGAGCAGCTCTGTCCCTGGTGATCTGCAGGCCAAGGTAGTGGCGCAGCTCACCAAGATCAGTGCAGGTGTGTCTCTTCTGCAGTTCGGACTTCACGTGTGCCAAAGCAACCCTGTCAGGGGTGGCGAAAACAAGGTCGTCAACGTAGACCAGAACAAAGAAAGGTGTGGGGCCACGACGAACGAACAGCGACGGGTCAGCAGAAGACGGCTGGAACCCAAGGTCAGACAGGGTAGAACGCAGGGTGTCGTGCCACTCACGAGGAGCCTGACGAAGACCGTAAACCGGTCGCCTCAGCCTCCACTGGGTCCCAGGAGGGAAAGAGCCAGTGAAGGCAGAGGGACGACGCAACCAGACCTCCTCGTGAAGACTGCCCTGAAGGAAAGCAGTAGAGAAGTCGAGAGAGTGTAACTCGTAGTCTCTCTGTGCTGCTACGTGTAGTAACACCCGAAGAGTGGTCATCTTCGGGTGGGCGCGAAGGTCTGAAAGAAGTCAACTCCCTCGCGCTGACTGAAACCTCTAGCCACGTAGCGTGCCTTGAAGACCGGAGGAGATCCCGGTGGCCGCTTCACCCTGTAGATCCACATGCCGTCAACTACGTTCGCCCCCGGAGGGGGAACCTCATCGACGTAGGTGCCTGTGGATCTGTAGGAGGCCATCTCTGCGTCCATGGCAGCTCTCCACTGAGAGGCCCAAGGCCCTGACACTGCCTCAGCGTAAGTGCGAGGAGTCGGAATGTCAAGGGCGTCGGGGTCACCCTCAGGGGCGAGGAGCATGGCACAGAGATGAGGGGAAGCGGCGGCCAGGAACTCTAGCTCAAACTGCCTGTCCTCTAGGGCGTCACAGCCAAGGGCAGACACACCCCCGACGGCCAGAGGACTGGAAGGAGGAGCAGCCACAAGAGCGGTGGCGAAGTCAAGGCGGCGGGTAGAGGCAAAGTCAGTGACTGCGGCAGTAAGAGCGGACACAGAGGACACAGAGGCACGAGGGTGAGTAACAAGCGAGGCGAGAACACGAGAGAGAAGAGGACGGTACGTGCGGTAGTAGTCAGTGACAGGAGTAGGGAGCGACGCAGTGAGAGCCGACTCAGGAGGAGACGGAAGCACAGACGGAGACGGACGAGGTGGACTAGAACGAAGTAAGGCAGTACGAAGGTCAGTGAAGGGAACAGGAGACGAGGGACGAGCACGAGGGGAGCGACGAGAGGCCCAAGTCTGAGAAGGAGGAGGGGACAACGAAGACTGAGAACGAGGGAAAACAGCGGGAGAGGGGTCAGGAGGAGGAAGCGGAGGACCAGAGACGGGAGGAGAGGGGGAGGAGGAAGGAGAGGGAGAGGGGAGACCAAGGGTCCGAAGACCCGAGACAGGAGGAGGAGACGGCAGCTGCTGCTGCTGCGGCTGCTGCGGCTGCTGCTGCTCCAGCGGCTGCTGCCCCTGCTGCTGTCGCTCCTGCTCCTCGAGCCGCTGCAACTCTCTCTCCTCTCTCTCCAACTCCAGCTGCTCCTCACGAGCACGGCGAACACGAGCCTGGAACCTGGTCGGGTAGGGGTGGGGGGAAGGAGTAGTGTCCGGGGCAGCGGCAGCCCCAGAGTCGACCTCCGAAGCACCAAGCACACCACCCCCAGAGGCAGCACCAACACCAGCTCCAGACCCAGGCTCTCCAGAAACCGAAGGAACACCCTCACCCCCAGACTCCGCACCAGCACCCCCAGACTCCGCACGACCAGTACCAGCCCCCGGAAGAGAAGAGTCCTCTGCAACCCGCGGCTCAGCTCCAACTCCAGCACCCCCAGAACCAGAGACCTGTACAGGGACAGTCGCAGGACCAACCTCCCGAGAGGGAGCACCTACAGGAGGCGGTGAGGAAGACTGTGGGGAGGGAGGCTGTACAGGGGGGGCTACCGAAGGGGGAGGGCTAGCCTGAGACACACCAGACGGGGCTGGACCAGGGGGGGAGGCTGTACCGGGGGAGCAGGCGGGGGAGCGGCTGTCAGGAAGAGGGGGGGAGGAGGAACCGGGAGACCTCGACTGGGGTACCTGACGTAGTACGGGGTGGACTCCTCGAAACGGACGTCACGGGAGTCAAAGAACCGGTGAGAGGGAGGGTGGTAAAAGGTGAAGTCAGAGGAGTCCTCAGGGAAACCAAGGAAGACACAAGGAACGGCGCGAGGCGAGAGCTTGTCCGCGGAGGTGTCGCGGACAAGAGCCAAGCACCCCCAGACACGAAACCTCGACGCGACACCAGGGGACCCTGTCCAAAGACTGGTCGGTGAAGCCTCCGGCCGAGAGACGCGTGGCCAGAGGTTCAGCTGGTGCGCGGCGTACCTGACTGCGTATGGCCACAGGAAATGGGGGGCACGGGCGTGAGTCAAGGAGGTGCGGGCAATCTCCATGACCAGGCCTATGCGACGCTCAGCAACCCCATTCTGCTGTGGGGACTCCGGAAGCGTCCAGGACTGACGAATGCCCTGTTCGCGACAGAATCCAGCGAGAATGCCGGAGCGAAACTCGCCCCCGCGGTCGGAGTGGAGACAGCTGACACGACGACCACGAGTGTCCTGGGTGGTAAGCAACCACCTGATCAGCGTAGAAGTCACCTCAGACTTCCTCGCCAGGGGGAACACTGTGGTGTAGCGGGAGTAGTCGTCAACGACCACCAAAAAGAAACGCTCACGCTCAGGGCCAGGGCGAGGAGAGGGGCCCCAGACGTCCAAGTGCAGCGTCTCAAAAGGCTCGGTGGCCGGACGAAGGGAGGAGGAGTGAGGGGTGGCACGCAGCCTACCCTCGACGCAAGGACCGCACGGTGGTGCAAGGGACGGCGGCAGCGACGGCAAGACACGCGGGAGACCTAAGACCAGACGCTGACTAGACATAGCACGCAGACGTGGAAGAGAAGGGTAGTCCCCGTCAACACACACCGCAGTCTCTCCAGAAGGCTCAAACCACACACCCACGTGCTGACTCACGAGGGGTCGCACGCCCACCAAGTTCCGGGAGAACGAGGGGACGTGAAACCCAGTGAGAGACCCAGAAGGAGCAGCCGGACACGGCAAGGTGGTAGTGTGACGCGCGGTGACTGGTCCCGAAGTGGGATCAGCCAGCGCCACAGAAACAGGCGCAGGAAGAGGCGTAAGTGTCGTGCTGTCACGAAAGAAGCAGTGAGAGGCTCCAGAGTCCAGCGTGAACGACAGCGAACCGTCCTCTGAGGTAGCCGCTGGACTAGAGTCTACACAAGAACCTACACTAGCAACAGGCAACTGAGCAAGGCTAGCACCTAAGCTAACAACACCAGAGTAAGCAGAGTCAGAAACACTAGAGTCAACAACAGCATACATAGCA